CCTTATCCTTCCCACTCACTGTAACCCCTCCCCCATGTCAAGCATCAGTCACTAATGTCCTTTTCTATGAAGTATTCTTGCTAAAATATTTTGTCTTAATCTAATTGTGAGAAAAGAGATAAATTTAGAATGTGAAAAAGTTTACAGAGGAACTTATCTGAACTTTTTTAAAAAGTCCATGTTTTCAAAGACAAAAGAAGAAAAATGACACAAATTAAAAGAGGTTAGTGAGGTGTGACAACTGAATGGACTGAGTGGAAACTTGACTGGCTCCTAGATAGAAAAAAAGCCATAAAGAATATTTCAGGGATAATTGGAGAAATTTGGTTATAGATATGGATGTGATATTAGATAATTACTAAAGCAGTGTTCAGAAGAGCTAATTCCCATCCTTCTTAAAGTATTCCAAAAAGTAAGAGGAGGGAATATTTTCCAAACTCACTCTGTGAGGCCAGCATCATTCTAATACCAAAATCAGACAAAGATATTACAGAAAAAGTAAATTATAGACCAATATACCTGATGAACATATATGCAGAAATCCTCAACATAATATTAGAAAACAGTACAGAAATACATCAAAAGGATCATCCATCATGACCAAGTGGGATTTATTCCAGGGATGCAAGTATGTTACCATATTGATAAGTCAGTAGCTGTGATGCATTCATTAACAAAAAAAAAAAGGGAGAAAAACCATATGATCTCAATAGATGCAGAAAAGCATTTGGCAGAATTTAATGTCCATGCATGATGATAACTCTCAACAAAACAGGTATAGAGGGAATGTACCTCAATATAAAAAAGGCCATAAATGACAAAGACACGGCTAACATCATACTCAGCAACAAAAAGCTGACAACTTTTCCTCTAAGATCAGGAACAAGACAAGGATATCCACTCTCACCACTTGATTCAACATAGTACTACAGGTCCTAGCCATGGCAGTCAGACAACACAGAGAGAAAAGGCATCCAGATTGGTAAGGAAGAAGTAAAGCTGTCACTGTTTGCAGATGACATGACACTATATACAGAGAAAATGCTAAAGACACAAAACTGTTATTACTAATAACTGAATTCAGCATAGTCATAGGTAAAAAAGTTAATACACAAATCTATTGTGTTCCTATATACTAACAACGATCTAGCAGAAAAATCAGAAGAACAATTCCAGTTTATTTACAGTTGGATCAAAGAGAATAAAATACCTAGGAATAAACCTAACCAAGGAGGTGAAAGGCTGGTACTCTGAGAACTGTAAGACACTCCTAAGAGAAAGAAGACACCAATAAATGGAAATCTGTCCTGTGCTCATGGATAGGAAGAATGAATATTGTCAAAATGGCTATCCTGCCCAAAGCAATTTACAGATTCAGTGCAATCCCTATCAAAACACTAACAGCATTTTTCAATAAACTAGAGCAAGTCATCCTAAAATTCATATGGAACCATGAAATATACCAATTAGCCAAAACAACCCTGAGAAAGAAAAACAAAACTGGGGGGGTTATGCTCCCCGACTTCAAGCTCCACTACAAAGCCACAGTAATCAAAACAGTATGGTATCAGCACAGAAACAGATTCATAGATTAATGGGACAGTATAGAGAGCCCAGATAAAAACCCATGCATATATGGTCAATTAATACATGATAAAGCAGCCATGAATATACAGTGGGGAAAAGAGAGTCTCTTCAATAATTGGTGGTTGGAAAACTGGACAGCTGCGTGCAAGAGAATGAAACTGGATTACTGTCTAACCCATACACAGAAGTAAAAATGGATCAAAGACCTGAATGTAAGACATGAAACCATAAACCTCCAGAAGAAAACAGGCAAAAATCTCTTAAACAAAAGTATGAGCAATTCAATTTTTTTCTGGACACATCTCCCTGGGCAAGAAAAACAAAAAAGTAAACAAGTGGGACTATGTCAAAATCTGAAAGGGGTTAACATCAAAATACATAAAGAACTCATGGCTAAACACCAAAAGACAAATAACCCAGTTAAAAAACTGACAGAAAACTGAACAGCAATTTTTCCAAGGAAAAAATACAGAAGGCCAACAGGCACATGAAAGGATGCTCCATCTCACTAATCATCAGGGCAATGCAAATCAAAACCACAATGAGGTACCACCTCATACCGGTTAGGATGAACACTATCCAAAAGACAAGAAATAACAAGCATTGGCAAGGATGTGGAGAAAAGGGAACCCTCCTATGCTGTCGGTTGGAATGTAAATCGGTGCAGCCACTGTGGAAAGCGGTATAGAGGTTCCTCAAGAAACTGAAAGCAGAAATACCATGTACCCAGGAATTGTACTTCTAGGAATTTACTTGAAGAAAACAAAGTCCCTGATTTGAAAAGATACATGCAACCCTACATTTATCACTGCATTATTAAGAATAGCCAAGTTATGGAAACAGTCTAAGTGTTCACCAGTGGATGAATATTTAAAGATGTGGTACATATACATAATGTAATATTATTCAGCCATTAAAAAAAAACTTGTGCAATTTGCAACAACATGGATGGACCTAGAGGGTATTACACTAAGTGAAATGAGCCAGATGGAGAAAGACAAATAACATATGGTTTCCATTTATTTGTGGAATCCAAAAATAAAACAATGAACAAAATGAAAGTAGATTCATAGGCACTGAGAAGTAACTGTTGGTTACTATAGGGGAGGGGCTGAGGTGGGTGGATGGGGAGGGTGAGGAGAATAAAAGTGCACAAAAATTCTCAGTCATGTAAGTCATCTCATGGGGACGGTAATAACAGCATGGAGAACATAGCCAGTGATTCTGAAACATCTCCCAGTGTTGACAAATAGTAACAGTATTAGTGGGGGTGAGGATTTAATAATATGGTTAACTGTTGAACCACTGGGTTGTATACTTGAAACTAATAAAAGATTTGGTATCAACTACTATTCAATTAACAAAAAGGCACTGTTCAAAATATATAAAGAGCTCATGCACCTGAACAAACAAAAAGCAAATAATCCACTTAAAAAATGGGCAGTTCTCCAAAGAAGAAATTCAGATGGCCAACAGACACATGAAAGGATGCTCCATATTGCTAGTCATCAGAGAAATGCAAATTAAAACCACAATGAGGTATCACCTCATACCAGTAAGGATCGCCACCATCCAAAAGACAAACAACAACAAATGTTGGCAAGGTTGTGGAGAAAGGGGAAGCCTCCTACACTGCTAGTGGGAATGTAAATTAGTTCAACCATTGTGGAAAGCAATATGGAGGTTCCTCAAAAAGCTCAAAATAGAAATAACATTTGACCCAGGAATTCCACTTGTAGGAATTTACCCTAAGAATACAGCAGCCCAGTTTGAGAAAGACAGATGCACCCCTATGTTTATCGCAGCACTATTTACAGTAGCCAAGAAATGGAAGCATCAGTAGATGAATGGATAAAAAAGAGGTGGTACATATACACAATGGAATATTATTCATCTATAAGAAGAAAACAAATCCTATCATTTGCAACAACATGGATGGAGCTAGAGGGTATTATGCTCAGTGAAATAAGCCAGGCAGAGAAAGACAAGTACCAAATGATTTCACTCATCTGTGGAGTATAAGAACAAAGAAAACATTGAAGGAACAAAAGAGCAGCAGAATCACAGAACCCAAGAATGGACTAACAGTTACCAAAGGGAAAGGGACTGGGGAGGATGGGTGGGAAGGGAGGGATAAGGGGCAGGGGAAGAAAGGGAGCATTACAATTAGCATGTATAGTGTGGGGGGAGGCATGGGGAGGGCTGTGCAATACAGAGAAGACAAGTAGTGACTCTACAGCATCTTACTATGCTGATGGACAGTGAGTGTAATGGGGTTTGTTGGGGGGACTTGGTGAAGGGGGAGCCTAGTAAACATAATGTTCCTCATGTAATTGTAGATTAATGAAACCAAAAAAAAGGCACTGTTAAATTTCTTTAATGTAAAAATAGCCTGTGATTATGTAGAATTACCTTGTACTTAAGAGAAGCATGTACTCATGATTTCTTATTTTATTCAAAAGGTTATTTATGTTGATAGTGGAATTGTCTCATTTGGCCAGTGGAAGCCCTTTCAAGCTATCTTCTGTGCCCTTTACATGTCTTCATCATTTTTTATGGACTTCATTGTTTTACCAGCACAATGCCTTAGCTCTGGAATCAGCCATTTTCCCCAGGAAGCCCTGGTACCTTTTAGTGAAGGCTGATAATGTTGTTTAGAAGATGTAAATAACAAGATATACTCATTGTCATTGTTGTGCTTGTCCCACCCCTTCAGGGAAAAGAGCTATGGAAAACCTACATATGTATATTTACACTTACTACAATATCTTCTATGTATTAAAAGTCATGAGGGACTACTAATATGTACAATTCTGCTCCAGTGCTTAAATGGAGTTCATTCTGGTTTCTCCCTTTCCCAATATCTAACTCCTTTCTCCAATAATGAGAAACATTACTTCCACTGTACTTCATATGTTTGCTTACATATATTTGCCTACTTGCTCAGTTGTCCATCTCACTCCCTCTCCCACCTGGACACTGTCCCTACTCTGCTCCGACTCCCTGCCCTATGCTTTCTCTCTGTATAGATTCTCTCCTTGTTCCATTTGGGTTTCATTGCCTGGTGACAGGGCAGCTCATCTCCTCTGGTCCAGTGTAGCATTCCCTCCCTGCCAGCCTCCATTGCCATTGTAGACAACTGCTTTGCTTGGAGAGACTGCTTTAGAGCTAAATTGCTCGGGATAAAGAGAGTAGAAAGAGAAGGCAAAGAAGAGCCAGTCAGTTTGTACTTTTTTGATGTTAACAACCATTGATGCTCAAATCCATCGACTCATTGGAGTTGAAAAATGGTGATATTATTAATACTTATCATTTTCTTTTCATATATTCCACTCATTTGCTATTTGGTTGCTCAGTGTTACAGTTTTACGTATTGGTAAATTTGTACAGAAGGCAGGATCAGTGCTTGATATAAAAAAATTGTATAAACACATTTCATGAATATGCATCATCCTTGTATAAGGCCCATGCCTCTTCTCTGTATTGTTCTAATTTTAATATATGTGCTGCTGAAGCAAGCAGTTTTCTTTCTGTTCATCCAGTTTTTAAGATAATGAATTGATTTTCTTCCATCTTCAGTGGCTACCTGTTTGAAATGACATTATGAATCTGGGATGTGAACATTATTTGATAGGTTTCAGTTCTTCGCAGTTTTTACCCTTACTGAAGTTCAAATTATCCCTTTTGCCAGTGGGTAGGAATATAAATATAGATACACAATATTAATACAATATTAATAGTACCACAACCACCATTATTGCTGAAATTAGTTTTTAAAAATTTGCATTTCCTATCCTTATTTTCCCTCCATTGTTTTTGTTGTACTGTAAATACACCATCCTAGCATGTAGCATTATGTATTGTACTCTCTTTTAAACCTCATTTAATCTTGTTCCTATAAGTATGTATCTAGTGTCTTTTTTCACTGTCTTTGAAGCTCATCTCTAATAGATTTCTCAGAGCTCTCATTAGTAATAAGTTCTTGTATGTTGATAAGTTAAATATACCCTTATATTTAAAGTCAGTTTTGTTGAATATAAACTTTTTGGCTCACCTTTATTTTCCTTGTCCTCTCTTCTCACATAGAATAATGTTTTCAAGGTTCATCCATGTTGTATGCATGTATCAGAACTTCATTTCTTTTTAAGGCTGAATAATATCCCAAAGTATGTGTATACCACACTTTGTTTATCCATTCATCTGTTGACAGTCACTTGAGTTGTTTTTACCTTTTGGCTAATGTGAATAATAACACTGTGAACAGGCAATGGTATTTTTTCTGTTCCCTTTGTTATGTTTAAGGAATCCTTTTATTCATATTGAAGTCTTTAACTTCCTCAATATTAATCCTTTTTCTTGAATCCTTCATTTCTTTTTGATTTTTAATTTTTCCCCATTGCCTTCTTTCTTAGGGTATTATCATTTGAGTTTTTTTGCTTTTGGATTTCTTCTATTTTACTCTTAAATGTCTGACACTATTTTTTCTTTCTAATTGTTTTCTAAATTCTGTCACCTCTTTTTTTACTTTTAAAATTATTTGTGTTCTTGTAACATTTTTCTTAATATCTTTTAGCACACTTAAAATAATAAATTAATATTTTTATCTATCTTGTGACCATTTCTCTCTGGCCCACTTTCATTGTCTGGAGGGTTGTAATAATCCTTGTTCTTTTTTTGAAATCGTAACTTCCAATGGGACTTTACATCAATACTTTTCTGTTTCTTAGTTTATGTGAACTTAGTTTGCTTAAAATTTTACTAGAAGGAGGTTGCTTCAGATGGTTTTTTTAACTTAACAGAGATCTATGTTCTGTTGTTTTCTTGTTCTGCCAGAACAGGGTGGCTTGCTTTCTGAGATTTTTATCTCTATTGCCCTCTATCACTTTTTATCTGGACCTTCTCTTCACATGTCTCTATTGTCACTGTCCTGATCGCTATTGATTTTACTCCCCAGAAGTTTCTTCTCATTGTGGGGCCCTACACTGGAAGGGTGCCCTGATAAATCAGCTTTGCAAATTCAAAGTGGTAGAATGTTTCTGTACCCCTTGTACTCACTATTTTTGGGGATAAAACCTTGCCTACTTTCAGCTGCTATTCTTAAGTTGACCTGCTACAGTTTCTAGTGTCTATTGACTGTTCTGTAGTTTTCCTATTTTTAGATTCATCAGACAACCCATTCCTTCCTTCTGCTTTCCTTTGACAGAGATGCCAGTAACACGCATATCTTTTGGCTCTTCCCATCTCCTTGTATATTGGGCTTTGTAGGGATACCTTGTCACTGAGTTTTGCTGTGAATATGCATGGATTTTATCTTTGGTATTTAGATTATTGTCTCTTTAATGTGGTCATGAAATCCAAAAACTATGCTACCATGACTTTTCCCCAGAATCCCCTAATTTATATAATGTTAATGTAGGTATTTTTATTCCCCTTTAGAAGGCAGTTAATTATGCTGGGAAATCCAGAAGAGAGAATTAGGAGCCATAAAAGCCACTGTCCTCTTTAGTAAATGTGAAGTTTCCTCCCTCCTCAGACTTTGTGGTTGATATACATTAAGGAGTCCTGGGAATTTTGCTCTTTTTCTTTGTATTCTGTACATTTGGTATAAATGCATACTCTTTATGGAGGTTTGACCATTATTTAAAATTTCAAATACGTAGGAAGAAGAAAGAAAGCGTCAAGAAGAAATGGAACGCCAGCGTCGGGAAAGACGGTATATTTTGCCTGATGAACCAGCCATCATTGTACATCCAAATTGGGCTGCAAAAAGTGGCAAGTTTGATTGTAGCATCATGTCTTTGAGTGTACTTTTGGACTACAGATTAGAGGATAATAAAGAACATTCATTTGAGGTAATGTTTTAAGTTTAAATTGGGATCCAAATAAGGTCCACACATTTTTATCATTTTGGTTGGCTAATATCTCTCTTAAATCTCTTTCAGTCCCTCTCTCATTGCTTTCATGTTTTGTTTTGTCCTTGCAATTTATTTTTTGGGGAAAAGACAATCAGGTGATTTTTTTTCCTACAGACTCACTCTTTCTGATTGTATTCCTGTGGTATGGTTTAAATGGTCCTCTGGTCTCTACATTTCCTGTAAATTGATGGTTGGATCTATAGTCTTAATCAGGCTTCAGGTTCATTTTTTTTTTTTCCAAAGACTTCTTCATAGGTAGTTGTTTGTTCTTTTATCAGGATATCAGGAGACACATGATGTATAATGTCTAATTGCCTCTCCTGGGAATGAGATAATGCTTTATTATTTATCTAGAATTAAAATATCATTTAACAGGATTAGAAATTTTACTTATGACTGATTGAGGTGTAAAATAAAATAATTGATGTTTATATTTTCAATACTAATCTATTTCTTTGTACTGTTATTTCAGAGCAGCTTTAAACCCTGTATAGTTTGTCATTTTTAAAGACAATTGGGGACTTTTATCCTATATAAATGATTGACTCATTTTTTTACTCTTTTTTAAATAAAACAATGTAAAATATCCCAATATTAATTTTGTAATAGCCACTGTAAAATTATAATTGTGTTCAATTATTATATCTTACATATCTCTCAATGTTTTATTTTATAAATTATATTGGATAAATCAGTCATACTTGATGTTAAGTCTGAAATGTTAAGATGAAAATGGGATAAGGAAGTGAGTGAAATAGTCAAGGGAGGGTAAAGAGTCACAACATACCAATTACAAATTAGTCATGGGAATGACCATAAAGCATAGGGAATATAGTCAGTAATATATCTCTATATGTTAACAGATAGTAACTATGCTTAAGAATGAGCATTTAATAATGTAGGTAACTGTCAAATCACCATGTTATGCACATGAAACCAACATATTGTGTATCAGCTATACTTCAGTTAAAGATGAAGATGAAGTACTTAGACTAGTCTGAGACAAACAGGTACAGAGGTTTCCTGAGGCACAATTATAAAACACAAAGCACCTGCTTTTCATTTTGGTATGAAATATGTTACAAATACTAAAATACTTAAAATTTTTGGTACATTAATAATTCTAGTAAGCCAGTATCCTTAAACATATTGTATATTACATCATTTTATTTTTATTACCAGTTATAAATTTAGCTCTTAATAGTGACTTCCATGAAGTAATCTTTCAGGAAATAAGTAAATTTTAAAAAGTAGTCTCTGGTTTTACTTATAGCATATAAACTATATACTGTATCTAACCAGTGTTGTAAGAGGGTCTCATCAATAATGCTACTCTAGTGGAAAAAAAGCAATTTGCAAAACAGCCCTTTGCTAGGAAAATTAACCTTTATCTCCCTCCCCACCTAACATATCCTTTGGTTAATTTCCTTTTAATCTATCATTGGAATGCAGAAGTCATATTACTACATGAATTCAAAAGAAATTAATCTGTAACTAAGAAAAACATATCATAAAATTATATATCTCTAGCTGATTTATATTAATAATGCTAGTTGTATATCTCTGTCTTTGAATGCTTATAGATGAAAAGGTAGGTAGATTTAATTCTGCTGTTCTTGTTACTCTTCTAGGCTTCTTCCAATCTAATACATTTTAATTACTGCTTTTTTTTTTTAGGTAGTAAAAAATAGAAAACTAAGGAAAAGATATGCCTCTTGGCTATTTTACTTACACAAGTGGAGATATTGTTTATGTTATGGTTAAGAAAAAGTAGAGTTTTTGACATCTTAATGGTAATTCTACTGATAACAGATTTTTAAAAATTTGAAATGTATAAAGACTGGACATGAATTAAAGAAAAATAGATTATAAGATTACCCTTTTAATACATTGTGTTATCCTTTATGATCAGGAAAATAGTCTGATTAAAGTATTTTACCAAATAACACTGAACAGATTGCCACAGATAACATATTTTAGAGCTGTGGTCAACCATTTCACATTCTAGACCCTTTTAATGTGTTGAAAGCAGTTAGCCATAAAAATTTAGTATATAATTTTAGGTTCATGAATATGTTTAAAGTCATTATCCATGGAACCTTGTATAGTAATAAGTAATAATAAATGCATGCTCCCTACTCAGAATTCGGAATTATTTTCCTCTGCCTGGAATGCTCTTCTAGTTACATATATGGATGGCTTCATTCCCTTAGCACCTTCAGGTCACTTGTAAAATGTCACCTGGTCAAAGAGTTCTTCTATGATTACACTCTTTGTTACTTTACTCTCTGTACATTTATGCTGCTTGTTTTCTCATAACTTGGTGTTGATTTGGTTATTCTATACTTTTCCCCACTGGATTGTTACCTTATGAGAGTCAGGATTTTTATATGTTTTATTCACTGCTGTGTCCACAATGCCTGGATCAGTCCCTGATACATAATAGGCAGTTCATTAAAAATTTATTGAGTAAATGAATGAAAAGACTTTATCATGAAGATTGCTATATGATAATAATATATTTATTTTTTGTAATATTTATCCAAACTGTAGTATTTATATCTTCAGAAAAGTTTTTGAGGATTTTGAGACATCACTTGAGC